CCCCTGTGCGCCCAGGGAGCAGAGGCAGCCTGGCGTCAGCTGTGTGCCCAGGGAGCAGAGGCAGCCTGGCGTCCCCTGTGCGCCCAGGGAGCAGAGGCAGCCTGGCGTCAGCTGTGTGCCCAGGGAGCAGAGGCAGCCTGGCGTCCCCTGTGCGCCCAGGGAGCAGAGGCAGCCTGGCGTCAGCTGTGTGCCCAGGGAGCAGAGGCAGCCTGGCAGCTGGTTTAGCATTAATGACCAGATCAAATAAATGATGGATTTTCAGGGAGGGCGTGGTGCTGGCGTCCCAGACAAACCTGGGTTGATCCCTTTCGGTTGTTGATATTGCTCTCAAGGCCAACAAAAGGAAATAATCTGTATACAATCAGTCCCACAGTAAAAAAAAAAATTACGACCTCCAAATCTTTATTAGCTATTCGGTATATTTTTCAATGCGGCTGGTTTTTCATGCACTTTTCATTTATGAAGATGAGCTTTCCAGAAACGGCCTCCTTCTTTGTTTCCTTCAGACCCTAACTGCTCGAAAGGCAGGCATCTCCTTCGCTCTGGTGACCAGATCCACACTCAGCAATGAAGACCTGGTAAGTGTCAACCATTCCTACCATCGACTGTCCAGGCTGACTAATGTAAGCGGTCCTGAATTTTAATAAGCTACAAGCTCTTCGTTAAACCAGCTCACACTGATGAATCCACTGACCCCAGAGAGATTTGAACCAAAGACCTTCTGACCCAGTTTCTCAAGAAATATTCACAGGCTGCATATTATGGCAGTTAGTGTAATGCTAGGCATTGTTTATTGGTCAGATAGCACGCGCAGCGGCTCAGGGAGCCTGTCACTATTAGCAGGCTGCAGAGTGTAAATAACGGCTAGAACACAAGCACCTGTAGGCGGCGCGGTGTGGCCCGGCTTCCCGGCGGAGGGGGAGTTAACGAGGACCGCCTCATGTCATTAGATAACACTACTGCAAGGACCCAGAAATACTGCAGGAAATCCAGCGCCACAAAAAAAACGAGAACAACAAATTAGGAAGTTAATAAATGGACGGTTCCGCAAAGCCTCATTTATCTTCCGGAGAATTCCGTCTCCAGCCTATTGTCCGTAGGGAATCGGGCCGGCTGATCCTGCTTCAGAAGTGCGCTCCCAAAGCTCAGTCCTCTGCCAGCATCACTCTTAGGTCTGCTCCTCCTGTGGACATCTGCAGATAGAGGAACACCTTAATCAATGGAAGGAGATTGATTAGGAGATCCAGTCCTACGGCCTCACAGTCGTCCTTTTAACTTTGAGTAACAGATAAAAGCCAGTAGCACTTTTTTCCCCGTCACTTGCAAAGCATCACCCATCTGCGCTGTATGAATCTTAAGGGCTCACTCCCTGCTTTTTGGCTGCCTGTCTCTCCCTGAGGCCTGTTTCGCCCCGCTGTGTCCTAGGAGTATTTGATGAGTATGCATTCTTATTAAATCGTATTTAATCTCATTTAATCAGGTGTACTTAAAGGCCTAAACAGACACAGGCATGAACCGTGTATGATCCACGTGATCCGATACTTCAAGCCCGGCTTTACACAAATCTCTGGTGGTCAGTCTCAGTTGCTTCCCCCCCTTGCTCCAGGTCTGACACAGACTCTTCTGATGCTTAGAGGGTGATGCTTTCAGTCACATGACAGGGCTGTCTACTAGGTGTCTATGGCCAACTTAGCAGATGCAGAACTCGCCTGTAATCACGAAAAGCTACAGAAATGTACGAGGTCTTTGTCTCATCCAGTGAGACTGCTACACTGCTCAGTTCCATGGTGGCATCCAAGTCCAATTGGATGAGAAGCAGACTGCCCGCCCCCAGAGGTCCAGAGAGTAATAATCCAGACCAAGATTTTGTTTTAACCAATCAGTTGAGTACTGGTTGGTTGAAACAAAATTTTGGTCTAGACTTTTACTCTTTGAACCTGAATTACCCACCTCTGCTTGCCCCACCCTGGTTGTTGACAGCTGGGATGTACGAAATACACGCCGCACCCATGCTGGGGCTGAGCATGCAGGGGGAGTGAGTGCCAGGCCTTGATAAAGAGGAGCAGATTGTGGCAGGTGATACGAAAGCGATTTGGGCAGCACGGGTCAGCAGGGACATTATTTGCAAGAACATCCCCTTAAGTAAAGAGTGCAGCATGTTAAATATGCTGAGGATGGCAGAGGGCTCTTGTGTTCCCTCATTTGCCCAAAAGACGTGCAGATTATCTGTGAAAAACAGCAGTGTTGTGTGCTGAAGTGGCTTAGCTAATGAGTTTAGCTAATCAGTCTGATTGTGTTTGGTCTAGAGGAAAATGACAGACCCGCATCTTCACCGAAAACGAAAACTGCTGTGCAAAAATTAAACAGACCAGAAATGTAAAGATAAACATATATTACTGAGAAGGATAGAAAATATAGAAATATACAGCTATGCTCATTAAAAGCTAAAGTCACCCGCTGGGTCAGTGAGGATCCGTTTATTTGGAATAGAGGGAAGTTAAAGAATAACAACATCATTGTGAACAAAAGCATAACTCACATTTGTATCACATATCTTCCATTAACAGCAACCAATTATTCATCACTCAAAAGCTATATTAAATATAAAATATTAAAATAATTCATATGAAATATTTAATAATAAAATGACAACACTTTACTCAAGGGGACCCAAGTAATGCTCTTTTTTGTGTGAATTTACCACTGATTAATACTGATCTCATGTTTATTCATCATTAATGAATTGTGATGCATGTTTTAAATCAAGCAGTTAATATATGTGTTCCTATATCTGTTAACTCTGTATATCTTTGTGAACTACTGAAGGAACTAGTAACTAATAACACAAGTGAAATACTGATCTGTATTTGTTCATCATTAATGAATCTTGATGCATCTCAAGTAGCAACTATATTTGTTCATGATTTGTAATTCAGTAGTAACTAAGTTACTACTAAGTATTTGTGCCACATCAAATAAAGTGTTACCAATAAAATAAACAGGGAACATAATGGCAATATGTTGCACGACAGGACTGTGGTTTTCTGCAAGAAGCCGGCATGTCTGTAGAAGGTGGATTTACTTAGTAACCCGTGGCAGCTGTTTCCCCAGGATTTCCATCAGAAAATGTTCAATAGTGTTCAATAGTGATCCACACCCTGACATTAATCGTGTATCCTGCACAATGTTATGTTGTTACATTTTGTGTCAGTCCTGGGGTACAACACCAGGACACTGAAATATCACCTTCTAACCATGTGCTTATCACAGCCGGCTGAGTGATTCGGTCAGCGTAAGGATTATTAATGAGGCTAACCCGTTCACCCAAATGGCAAAGGAGTCCGTTGTCATGACCTGATCACCAATGGCACCTAACAGGGAGTCACATGGTCAGAGGCCCCCGGCCTGCTCCAGTTCTTAGGGGGCACCCTATCAATTTCTACATTAAAATGTTGTCAATGAGGGAGCGACGGTAAAATATTAAATTGTATTTTGGTCTAGACGAGAAAATACAGGACAAAATATATCCTGTATTGGATAAAAATGGGACACAACATTTTTTTACAGGATCATCCTGTAAAATGAAGCACAGGTGGCAACTCCAGGAAACAATGCTAGCAGAGGTTCCTGTCTAGCTGAGACCCCTCTCTAGCTGAGGCCCCTGTCTAGCTGAGGCCCCTGTCTAGCTGAGACCCCTGTCTAGCTGAGACCCCTGTCTAGCTGAGACTCCTGTCTAGCTGAGGCCCCTGTCTAGCTGAGGCCCCTGTCTAGCTGAGGCCCCTGTCTAGCTGAGACCCCTGTCTGTCTAGCTGAGGCCCCTAGGCCTCAGCCAGGGTGAGCCTGAGCGTTAAAGCTGCCCTGCTGAACCCGCATCCTGTCCCTGATCCTCGCTTCCACATTGCAGTCCATCAGCATGACTAAAATGTATCATATATTCAAACAAATCCTTTTCACAGCCATCCAAGTCAAAAATTTGGCCAAACACATTGGAGCATCAATGCCAAGCAGCGATTTCATTCACTTTTACAGAGTATTTGAGCCCAGAAGGATGGAATGTTGATATCAGACTGGGTTTAGACTAGTCCACCGCAGAAAGTACAGACCTGGTGAGTGAAGTGGGCCCTTAGTGGGCAGGGTGTGGTCATGGGCTCATCTTGTCTCGCACTGATTCTCTGGCTCCAGCTCTTGCATCTTCTGGAGAGAGTTTCACACCACAGCAAGCCGCCAAGATTCGGAGGCGTGTGTGGACGGTGCGCTGACATCTGCTTAGCGTAAATGCATAGGCGTCGACCGCGGCACCGCCCCCATCCCCCCCGTCACCCAGCGCCCCCCTCCCTGCATGGCTGGACGTCTCACGGGGCAGCAAGGCGCGATTTGCTCTCCTGCAGCTTGGCTCCAGCGAGACTCTCACTTCCCTTCCAAAGAAACGCAGTGTTGTTGTTTATCCATTCAGAAACAGAGCACACACACACACACACACACACACACACACAAACACCCAATCTGGGAGGATCTGCATGTTGCGACTGAAATGAAACAAACAGCAGATGGAATCACAGCATCTCTCTGTTACATTCTCGGCTCGCTAAGTACTGGGACTCATCGGGGGCGTGTGATGGTGGCGATATGGCCTGCGTCAGCTCGAGGGTCCTTTAGCAAGTCTCTACATATAAATAAGCTTTATAATCTGAGTGTTACAGTAAATTGATGGTAACCATGTCTGTGCAAATATGATTAAGGTGTGAGACAGGCGAACAGCATAGCACACATTCTCTCCAGGTATGGAACATGTTAGCATGTCATTGGAGTTCAACTGCCCACTGATACCTTCATAAATTCATCTTATTATATGATATTATATCATATTAGGGCTTTTAGGTTTGTGGCACCGACTGCTACTTTTCCACTATGCTGATTCTTATTTAATGTAATGTAATCAGTTTTAAATATCAAGCTGGTAACTATTATTTATATATCTCAGCTAACATGCCCCATTTCTCAGCTTCCCCCGCCCTCGGTGTCCTCACAAAGGCAACCTGTCTCATTACAGAAGCTACACGTCTTCCGGAAGACTCTGCAGGCCCTCGTCTACCCGATTTCGTCCACCACCCCACACAACTTCGAGGTGTGGACGGCGACGGCGCCCACGTACTGCCACGAGTGTGAGGGCCTATTGTGGGGCATCGCGCGCCAGGGCATGCGCTGCTCCGAGTGCGGGGTCAAGTGCCACGAGAAATGCCAGGACCTGCTCAATGCCGACTGTCTGCAGAGTGAGTGGAGGGTCCTCGGGAGGCATGTGGGGGCCCTGACACACACACACACACACACACACACACACACACACAGGCTTAATGGCATCCATTTGTATTGTGGTTGTGAGCCACCAGATCTCCCTCAACTTCACAACTTGAAGGTTCTGGAAGACGTCCAGGTCTTTCAGAAATTCGAAGTTACGATGCTTGGCATCCCTTGTGGCGCTACAAGCCCACCACATGTAGCTGAGATGCACAGGGAAGGATGCACGTGAATCACAAGCGGTCATGGTGAACGGCTGCTGTTTCATCTCAATCCGCAGGTCTGTTACGCTTCACAGTGGCAGAGCCTGAAAATGTGCTGGTGTCGTGCTCCTGTCTCTGTTTCTAGTCGCTCCCAGGAAGCCGGGCCTGGGCCTTTACTCCTATGTTTCTCATCACGAATCCCATTACTGCCTTGCACTCAATATTTTCTTCCTAAAATTGTTTTGAGAGCACGTTGTCTTGGCCCCGTTCCGCCCTCGACGGACGCGGTGAGCCTACACAGGGCTGTCTGTTCTACAGGAGCTGTGGAGAAGAGCTCCAAGCATGGAGCAGAAGACAAAACCCAGAACATCATCATGGCCATGAAGGAGAGGATGAAGATCAGAGAGAAGAACCGGCCAGAGGTGTTCCAGCTCATCCAGGAGGTCTTCCACATCTCCAAGGAAGACTTTGCTACTCACCTGAAAGCCGCCAAGCAGGCTGTTCTGGAGGGCACCTCTAAGTGGTCGGCCAGAATCACCATCACAGGTACAACCCATGCTCGTCTGGCCCGGATTCATTCCACTATTTTGTTTTCTTCTCTATCATAAAGTCCTGTGAGAGTCCTGCGCCCGTTCAGCAGATGTACAATAAATGTGAGGTTACATACTTCTAGAGCAAGCACTCTCCGGATGCGGACCAATATGGCAAGTTAGTCCAGACCCAGTCGATAATGCACCTTATGAATCAAAATGGTTAACGTGAAAAGGCTCAAGGTCTGAAGTGCAAAAATACAATGTAGAACTTCGCAGGCACATAACTCATCATAGCCCCCCTCCCCCCGCCAGTCTTTGCGTTATGTTCCCATGATGTGCACCTTTGGTCAATATGTTTGAGAGCCCTAGTCCAGAGTAACGGTCTGATTACTGACTCTCCAACAGCAAAAGATGTCAGCAATCGTTACAGTACCTGCCCCGGAGCATCCTCACAAATATATAATCCAGTAAAATCCAGTAGGTTCTGCTGAAGGTGACAGTACCATCAACGGGACCCCCGGGTGCTGACTAACCCATAGTTCACCATAGCATTTCTCAGAGATCAGCCTCATTGACACTATGCATTCACTCAGGCTTACCTGCACCCCTCCTCATATGGTTTCTATGGCAACAGAGATTGCCCGGGCAGGGGTTAAATGTAGCAGGCATTGCCAAGTTGGTCCTCTTCCATCTGCCCATCTGTGATGCCCCGCCAGCTCGTCAGTATGCAGGAGAGGCAGCCTACGGGAAGCCATTCTTATTTCTCCGGCCTTATTGAGTTTTCACACACCTTGGATCATTATTTATTTACACGTCGCCCCTCAATTCAATACCTGCAAACTTGTACGTTATGCTTCAAACAAGTATATTGGAAATGGTGCATTCTGTCTCAGTGGTGCCTCCTCATGCTCTTCATTCTACACGCCGCGCTTTGTTCTGATGTCAGACACTCTTTCTGCTCTGTTCCGGGCAGTTCTGTGTGCCCAGGGCCTGCAAGCCAAGGATAAGACCGGATCCAGTGATCCGTATGTCACCGTCCAGGTGGGAAAGACCAAGCGCAGAACCAAAACCATCTTCGGGAACCTCAACCCTGTCTGGGACGAAAAGTTTTCCTTGTGAGTATGTTGACAGAACCGTCACCGATGATTTTGCAGCATTACTGTCAAATCAGTGGGGAGCCTTCGACTAAATTACCCTCCCTTCATAATTATCTGCATAAAAAGCTCCTGACATTTCCAAATGAGCGATGTGATTGGGGCAACTGTCACTCAAAGCCCGCTTTGAAGTTTTCAGAATTGTCTCATTAAGACCAAAATAATCGTGCGCTGAAAAACAATATGGGTCGATTTGGATATTGCAGTGCCCGCTGGCTGCAGTGGCACGGCTGTCAGTGCTGTTTGCTCCGCATCTTTGGGTTTAAGCGACGGAAACGTCAGGTTAATGTGGCCTGGCAGGCCTGGCCCCGCTTTCACTTGTATGTGGTTAAAAGCTCCACAAAGGAAAAATACTCTGTCTTTTATAAGAGCAGGTGTCCAAGTTATTGAGGCCAATCTCTGATGTTACAGCTGAGTCCCGTCATACCTGGAGATTTATGGGTAACCGTGTCTATTTGTCTTTTTCCAGTAGGAAAATAGACCTCTATAAATGCTGTTTTTGTAGCATCGTGTGGCCAATCAAAGTCGTAGCTGATTTTGTGAGAGGCCTGTCAAAGGCCTGTGGCAGTTAAATTCAGCCAAAATCATCATTACATCGGTATTTATCCACCCCTGACATAATCGATTACCTGTGATAACAGGTGAGACTTGACAATGGCTACATGGCAGTTGGGGAGCATTTTATCAATCATTTTCACATGCAGGCATCTGAAATATGTCTGGATGCCAGAACCCTCAGATATATCTGAACTTTTTGGAGGTTTGAGCACCGGGTGCTGCAGTACGCGGACCAATGGGCCACCTGACAAACGCGTTTCTGTACCATTGCACGGGAATTGAGGAGTCCCTTTCCCCATCTCTGCATTAGATAAAAAAAACTCTGGTGACTCCCACTGGTGCTGCTCACCAGTGAATTGGAAGGTCCAGACAAAAGCTGCAAGGCTCCATTAATTAAGCGATCTTCCTTAAAGAAGCGCCCCCCCCCCCCCCCCCGCTCCCGTCCCCGGCCCATCGATGATTTCTCTCTTCTTATTTTCTGCGAATGGCTCCTCTGTGTTACATCTCCTTCATTAATCAGAAGCCCCCACGCAGAAAGGCGCAGGCCTCTCACATATGCTCCATTGTATGTGTGTGTGTGTGGGGGGGTATGTTTCAGGGGATGTTTGAGAGGGTTGCAAAGGCCAGCTGAGATGCCTGAGGAGGTCATTGATCGCCACCTGAGGTCTGGCCAGCAGTCTGATGCCAAGGCGTCGCTGTTTTGGAGAGCATGGCAGAATGTAAGGCCACCACAGGCTCTGGGGACCGGGAGGCAGCTGTCGAGCCTCCCCTGTGGTAGGATTCATCTCACAGCCTTTTGGACGGATATATCCATCCTTCGGGAGACTGGGGGGGGGGGGGAGGCTTTAATTTAGGAGGCAGACTTTTCCGCCACTTAAGCGGCTGGCTCTCCTTCAAGCCGCTGCCTGTCAAGCTGATTTCCTTCTGAAAGCGGCGGATCACGCAGAGCGAGGTGATGTGCAGGAGGACCGGCACATGTCTCACTGCTGTGATTCGACGGCCGCTTTCACGACTCTGCCACATTACCTCTAGACAGGCTCTAGAATTTAACCCCAAATCAGTTTTATCTGGGTGTTCTTTGCACATTGGGATGTGGGGGGAGACCCATGGGTAAGATATAAAATGGACAGCAAGAAGCAGTCAGATATACAGGCTTATGGTGCATCCTGATCCAGTTCATTCCTGCCACAGCCTGTGCCAAACGGCAGTGGTGATAATCCAGTGTTGAAAGAGTGGCCCTGTGTTGACTCAGGTGCCGAATACTATTGGCCGCTTCCAGGACACCGGGCAGGGAAAGCCTCAAAGTGACCAGCGGCAGCTCTGTGGATGGTTATAGCACCATCGAGATGCCCAGCGATGGGGCGCGGTGACTGAATTTCCCTGTTAATGTGCTTCCCCAGTTCTGCTTTGCACATTGATGATAAACAGTGACAACTCAGCTGTTTTGAGAAGAAAGGGAAAGGGACCACATTCAGGAACTTGCGCAAAATTGTAGGGGGCAAGGGTGATGTGGCATTAAAACTACCTGACAGAGCTGAATGAAAAAGTGAATTTGCTGTTTTTTCATAGCACATGTGTATATCATACATCTTCTAAGAAGAAGGAGATCAGCCTTGTGTCTGTTCGTGGACAGTAGCACAGCTGGTGCGTTTAGTCGCTGTTTCCGCTGGATGATTAACAGATTTACAGCAAGCATCCTCTGTGAATAACCTACAAATCATACTCCGTGGTCCATTGGAAGCCATTTTTAGGAAATAATCATTCAGTGATAATATTCAACAGAAATGCTGCCTCAACATGACACCCAATAAATTAGGAAAGGCCTGCCTGGTCATTTACCCAATTCAGGTAATCAGGCTGCATATTTAAGACCATTTTGTTCCCATGGCCAGGCTATCCCTAAATGGAATTCTCTGGTGTAAGTGACACTGTCTCTTTGTTTTTTCAATTTTTTTTTCCATTGTCAGAGAATGTTAGAACATTCCGCAAGTTTTCCTGAAGTCTTTGCTGTTCATAGAAGATTCTTTAAGTGGAATGTAGTAGTATGTGTCATTACCCCTTAAAGGTCAGGATTGATACAGCACGATCTCAGAACTGAATGAATGGAGGGACCTATAGTCGATTGACAATCTTACCCTTACCCCTGTACGCACACATTCTGTGATCGAGCCCGGAAGGTGTTTCCACATGATCTATGCTAAAACATGCAACAGAGTGACATAGCTGCTACTTTGAGATTCACTCTGCCTCCACCTATGATATCAATCATTGTAGCTAAACAGCAGAAGGACATTGACCATGTGGCCTCTGCTCTTCTGTTCAATCCAGCGAGTGCCACAATGCAACAGACAGGATAAAGGTGAGGGTGTGGGATGAGGACGATGACATCAAGTCCCGGGTGAAGCAGCACTTCAAAAAGGAGTCGGACGACTTCCTCGGGCAGACCATCATCGAAGTCCGGACACTGAGCGGCGAGATGGATGTTTGGTATAACCTGGGTGCGTTAGCAGACATATGCTTTGGTAACCATGCCTGGTAACAACACTGCAGGCCACTGCCTTGGTATCCACCATATGTGAAGCCATCACGATGATCATAAAATGCAATAAATATTATAGTATGCTTAAATAAATCCTGCTGGCATTTTGAAAGTAGTTACAGATAAATATTACATAATATTATAATGATCACAACAGTGTGTGACCCACTATAAAATGCCATATGTGTCTGCTGCAATGAACACATCTTATTTTATTCTGTTTACTTGCCCGCTTGTCATTTTGTCATTTGGCACTGGGACCATGTGACATGCTCTCCTCTTCCATCTGCGTAGTTAAGAATTATGTGTCACCTGGATAGCGAATGCAATTTTCAGGTCAAAGAGCACTGGAGTTAGAGATACAATTTAGACAAATTGGCTTGTCAGTCGTGACTGTCCAGCATTCCGCTTAAGGGCCGCTAGTTATTGTGCTGCCGTCCTGCTAATTTGACAGCGGAAAGTGATTCCCTCAAACAAACGGGGCTATCGGCAGCCTTCGTAATAAATAGCCCGGCTCCAGTGCCAGACCTTGACTGCTGAATGGAAAGCAATAGCTAGCTATAGCTGAAAAGAGTAATGTCCCTCATTTTTTCCAGACATTTCTGTGTCACACTCAAACTTAATGCAGAGAGGAAGGGCACTATCCAGGGGACTTGGGTAGCTGTGTGTCGGTCTGTGAAAATGGTCAAGTTTGAGCAGAAATGAAGCTGCAAATATTAATAAAGAACTAGGTAGCAGAGTGAATGTGATAAGCAAAGATACCCTGCAAATAAGTGAGAGACAAGGAGAGGCAGGAGCTGTTTTAAAGGGTAAAATAGCCAGTACATACGCTAGCTTACTGGCTAACCGGCGCACCCCTTGTGCACTAACCCTGCAGAAAAGAGGACGGACAAGTCTGCGGTGTCTGGGGCCATCAGGCTGAAGATCAACGTGGAGATGGAAGGGCAGGAGAAAGCAGCTCCACCACATGGCCAGTACACCTGTCTGCATGAGGTACCCATGAAGGGCACAAGTCATCATTTATGGACCAGAGGATTGTTTAGGACACCGAGGCTCTTCAAGCTTTACCTGGAGTTTTTATTCTCTAGTCACACTAATTTGCTATCGCTAAGTTAGCTTCCGTTGTTTCGTTTATTTACGCAGAAGGTTATTCTCTCCCATATGCACAGTTTAACATAATCTACTGCTTCTGCTCATTGTGACTGGACATCCATCCATCTTCAGGAATGTAACAGTAGCTCTCCTGCCGGTCTCCCGTCTCTGCAGTAATATGTGGAGGCCCTTCAGTCTTACACTCTGAGCCTCAGATTTTATAATAAAAGCTAATGTATCATCTAGCACCCTAGAGGAGGAGGAGACAGAGGAGTGCTGAGATGCAGAGCGTGTGCGTCTGGGAAACCCTGTCAACACGTCCTCTCTCGTTTTAACAAGGCCTAGGGAGAATTGTCTCTAAGCAAGGTCATACCGCTCAAGGGCACGGGACTTTGGAATTGTTAGCTAATTCCGTGTTGCAGTTGAGCACCTCCTTTTGTGAACTTTGCTTTCCAGAACCTTTTCCATCACCTGACGGAAGTGCAGAACAGCGGGGCAGTGAAGATCCCCGAGGTCAGGGGCGATGAAGCATGGAAGGTTTACTTCGATGACATTTCCCAGGAAATCGTCGACGAGTTTGCCATGCGCTTCGGAGTCGAGTCCATCTACCAGGCAATGACGTGAGCAGCTATATTTCATATTTGCCTATAATTCAAATAATTCATCAAATACATTTTCTGTATCAAAATAGATTGGATAGGACCAGGCAGTACACTGTTGACTAAAATTGTGGAAACACCTAGCATTTTTGGCATTACACTTTAAAAATTACACCGGTGGTAATGTTCAAAAACAATCAAAGAATGTTACAAATATCATACATTGGTTGATTAAACAAGTTACAGGAGTAACTGGAGTAAAGTCCTGCAATCTCTAAAAATTGGAAGTGTTTCCACAATTTTGGCCACTAGTGTATATCAAAATTTTGTTGTATTTTCAAACAAGGTATAGGATGAGTCAATATCATTTATATCAATATGTTTTTGTTTTTATTTCATTTAAAATTAGGCCTGTCAAAGTTAATGCTTTAGCGCTAATTTCAATGTCATAATATGTAGTATTTTGATACCCAAATGCGAGAAGAGTATGACCGAATACAGACCTACAATATTCCTCCCCATTTGTAGACAATGCAAGTACTTTGGTATGATGTAACATAGAATCCCAGACTTTACAGCTAAAATCACAACATTCAGTTAACATCTCACGGGGAAGCAAGGAACCATAGTTACTTAGTGACCACACTTGGTTTTAATATAAGTGTTTGGTGTTTGACTTAAAAGTGAACATTTAGCCCACCTCATAGAAAGTACCAAGATATATATCATATATTTCTATTCTGCCGCAAAAATATCGAGACATGGTTTTCGGTTTTTGGTCTGTATCGCCCAGCCATAAGAGTGCAAAACAAAAATCTTTTAGTTTGGTGACCGTATTAAGCATTTTAATAGGACGTCCCAGAGGTATATGACAGAAACAACAAGTAAATCTATGATGAATGTTGTAGTTGAAGGATATTTTTTACCTAGAGACATTTATTAAAGTGTATTAAAGCAACATTTTCCCACCCATATATAGTATCTTACCGATAAAGCAGCCAGGATCTGACTCCACAGATCTTACGCCTCATACTTCAAATTGCAGTGTTGTAAGTGACGTCTTTTTAAGGACGTGCCTCAAATCTTCAGCTTAAAAGGCCACTGCTGGGCCTCGACATTAAGAAGCAGCAGTGCCTCTGCTCCTGTTGGAAAGCCAGCTGCTGGTAGAAAGCACATCTGTGGGAAGCGTACGGCTGAATTATATATCGCTTACTGCTCTCAGAGTGCTGCCCATTCTCACCGCTGTTCCCTTCTCTACTTCCAAAGTGGTTTCAGACAATCAGGAGGTTCAGAACATCTCAGTAGTTAATTAGCCCTTCTGATGGGTTTCTTTGCAGTGCAGGAGAGGCAGCAGAAATGAATCCACGCCGTACTGTACCAGCATGCATTCTGCCATTTGTTCATCCGTTTCGTTGCACAGTCACTGACAGAACCATAGACCCTAAAATTGGTGTTTGGCAGAGCCTTCATGCCCTAGATGCAGGGATAGCTCCTCCTTCAGAAGCCTTCAAGCGTGCCAAAGGCATGGCATCTCTGTAGGGAACTGTAACATAGGCTGGAGGAACCCGCACAGCTGTAGCTGTCAGGTGAATAGAGAAGGTGTGGAGCCAGGGCCTCATCTCAGCAAGCGCTGTCCTCCTGCCAATCTGTTCTTTCACTGCCTACTGATCTACCTCTCCATCACAGCTCCAAGGTGCCAGGAAGATGGCAGAGTCTTATGTTCCTTAGACCCTACAAATATAAGACTTGTTTCTGACTCCCTTTGAGATGTCCGTCAAAAGGAGGAGCTGCGGAACATGCCCTTCATGCGCCTGACATTAAAATTCTCAAAAAATGTCCAGATACATCAGAAACCTTGTCTACAAACCAGAACTGGAGCCTTTGCAGTTGTCAGGACACAATAAAATATTTTGAAACCCTAAAAATCCATATTAATGTGAACAAGTTAATCTGTCTGTATTATTTGAAATCCACTTTTTACCCAGCATGCCGATCTGCAATGTCTCTGCCATTTTCCCACTATCAAATGATGCAAGAACAAGTACAAAGAAGACATCACATAAACAGAGCAGCATGCAGACACCGTCACGTAAACAGCAGCATGCAGACACCGTCACGTAAACAGCAGCATACAGACACCGTCACGTAAACAGCAGCATACAGACACCG